ATACATAGAAATTTAAAGAAAAAAACTCAAAATCACTCATAATTTGTCAGCCCAGAAGGGAGCACAAAAACCATTTTGTTGTAATTTGTTCATTCATCATTCATCATCCATGTCTGTATATATCTACATCACCTTTTTCATACTTTAGATCATGACTTTGAATATGATTTGCTTATTTCACTTAACCTTATATCATGTCATTAAATAGTTTGGAAGATATTTGAATGCTTTTTTAAACATTCCTTCTTATGAATTGTCATAATTCATTTCACCAGTATCCTTTTGTCAGAGGCAGCATGAGGCAGTGGACAGAACACAGTCACACAGACCTGGGTGCGATCCCGGCTGCCACTGATTTCACTGTGTGACCTTGGGCACGTCACATAACCTCCAAGTGCCATCTGTAAAATACAGGACCCAATGCCTAGTTCACAGGCTTATTTGATTATTAAAAATATATGTGTAAAGTACCTGGCGCTTTAGCAGCCTGGTCACATGTTATTTATTATTTAAAGTGCTTCCATTTTCCACTGTTATAAATAATGCTTCGGGAAACATCTGCATGCATAAATCTTTCCCCACAGCTATGATTATTTCCTTAGGATAGATTCTAAGAAATGGAATTACCAGACCAAAGGATCTGAATGTTTTTAGCAGGACTCCCGATACATACCCTCACATTGTTTTTCAGAAACCTTTACCAGCATTGAATCTTGTTCCTTTAAACCAAAAAATCTTTTTACTGTTATAATAGATAAAAAGTGATATGCAGTTGATGATTAATGAGACTAGTTAAGAATCCAACATTTTCCAAAATGATTACTAGCTATTTGCACTTCCTATTCAGGAACTGCCTGCTCCTGTCCATCCCTCATTTTCCAGGGGGTCCCAGAAGAGAAATGGCTTGGTTGGGCTTCACACAATTAGTTAGTTCATTATTTCATCCGCCAAATATGTACTGAGCATCTCCAGTGTGCCAGGGACCCTGCTCCATCCCGGGGTACAATACAGAGGTGAAACAGACAGCAGGCTCTCCCCATGGGGCTGTCACCTCATGGGGGGGTGGGGGAGACATATGATACACAAGTCAACGGACACAGAAAATAATTACTTATAGTGAAAGTACTATTCATTCCCAAATATTTAATTGGCCGTGAGTATGAGCCAGGCACTGGAGATCCACCAGCGACCCAGGGAGACAAAGCCCATGTCCTTGGGGAACTTAGCAGAACTAAGACTTGTACCCAAGCTCCTCCTGCCAGCCCGGAGCAGGCTTCTTTCAACCACATCCCTTCGGCTGACTCTGGTGCAGGGAGGCAGGTAACAGGGAATCTAAGAGGCTCGTCTCTACCATCCTGCCTCTTCTCTGGAGTGTTGGTCTAGTCCTCCCAGAAGGAGTTGCCAAGTGCAAGAGATTTACTAGGGAGACAGCTGTGAGGGGAAGTGGGGAAGGGGCTGGGTAGGCATCATCAGACTGTCATACAGGTCTGACCTGTGGGAAGGAGAGAAGGAAGCAAGGAAGACTGATGGGAGGTCTTAGACCGCAGCGCCGTGCCAGGAAAGTTTGGTAAGGTGGGAAGTCTTTAAACCAACATTGGCCACCAGAGGAGTCCCAGCTCTCCCGGGAATGTGCTCTGACCTTAATATCCCTGCTGCGCTCTAGCTGGGAACAGCCCAGGGAGAGTGTGGCCTCTGGGCAAGTGCAGGGAGGGAGTCCAGGCACCGCAGCTGGGGCCATCGGTCAGTTACACACCCACAGAAGCCTGAGAAGCACACAGTCACCACATCTCACATCCCCTCTCATCCTGAAGGGAGGTCATGGCAGGCAGCTCCCGCCTTTAGCCAAGTGGCCCTTTCTCTGGCCTAGACAGGTAGGGGATGGGGACAGTCTCCTCACTCTTAAGGAAGGGGCCCTGGCGAAGCACAGGTAGAGAGCGTCCTCTCCAGTGCAGACGTTGCCAGAGACGGGAGGTGACTGGGGATGTGCCTGCAACCAAGGTACATGCCCTTGACTGGAATCGAACCTGGGACCCTTTAGTCCACAGGCCGACACTCTATCCACTGAGCCAAACCGATTAGGGCTAGGCCAGGAAGTCTTGAAAAACTCATCCTTTACATACATTCTTCTTTTTTACATATTTATACTTTAATTGCTTTATATCTGTTTATAAATATAGGATGGCCCCCCAAAAATGTATACACACACTGTATACTGTATAAAGGCCGTATTTATTAAAATACATTTTATTTTCAAAGTTGAACTATCAGCTGTTAAAGTGTGTTTACGTTTTCTGGGGACACACTATATATGCTCAATTTGGGACTGTTAGAGAATACATAGAAATTTAAAGAAAAAAACTCAAAATCACTCATAATTTGTCAACCCAGAAGGGAGCACAAAAACTATTTTGTAATTTTTTCATTCATCATTCATCATCCATGTCTGTATATATCTACATCACTTTTTTCATACTTTAGATCATGACTTTGCATATGATTTGCTTATTTCACTTAACCTTATATCGTGTCATTAAATAGTTTGGAAGATATTCTTTAAAGAAAAAAACTCAAAATCACTCATAATTTGTCAGCCCAGAAGGGAGCACAAAAACCATTTTGTTGTAATTTGTTCATTCATCATTCATCATCCATGTCTGTATATATCTACATCACCTTTTTCATACTTTAGATCATGACTTTGAATATGATTTGCTTATTTCACTTAACCTTATATCATGTCATTAAATAGTTTGGAAGATATTTGAATGCTTTTTTAAACATTCCTTCTTATGAATTGTCATAATTCATTTCACCAGTATCCTTTTGTCAGAGGCAGCATGAGGCAGTGGACAGAACACAGTCACACAGACCTGGGTGCGATCCCGGCTGCCACTGATTTCACTGTGTGACCTTGGGCACGTCACATAACCTCCAAGTGCCATCTGTAAAATACAGGACCCAATGCCTAGTTCACAGGCTTATTTGATTATTAAAAATATATGTGTAAAGTACCTGGCGCTTTAGCAGCCTGGTCACATGTTATTTATTATTTAAAGTGCTTCCATTTTCCACTGTTATAAATAATGCTTCGGGAAACATCTGCATGCATAAATCTTTCCCCACAGCTATGATTATTTCCTTAGGATAGATTCTAAGAAATGGAATTACCAGACCAAAGGATCTGAATGTTTTTAGCAGGACTCCCGATACATACCCTCACATTGTTTTTCAGAAACCTTTACCAGCATTGAATCTTGTTCCTTTAAACCAAAAAATCTTTTTACTGTTATAATAGATAAAAAGTGATATGCAGTTGATGATTAATGAGACTAGTTAAGAATCCAACATTTTCCAAAATGATTACTAGCTATTTGCACTTCCTATTCAGGAACTGCCTGCTCCTGTCCATCCCTCATTTTCCAGGGGGTCCCAGAAGAGAAATGGCTTGGTTGGGCTTCACACAATTAGTTAGTTCATTATTTCATCCGCCAAATATGTACTGAGCATCTCCAGTGTGCCAGGGACCCTGCTCCATCCCGGGGTACAATACAGAGGTGAAACAGACAGCAGGCTCTCCCCATGGGGCTGTCACCTCATGGGGGGGTGGGGGAGACATATGATACACAAGTCAACGGACACAGAAAATAATTACTTATAGTGAAAGTACTATTCATTCCCAAATATTTAATTGGCCGTGAGTATGAGCCAGGCACTGGAGATCCACCAGCGACCCAGGGAGACAAAGCCCATGTCCTTGGGGAACTTAGCAGAACTAAGACTTGTACCCAAGCTCCTCCTGCCAGCCCGGAGCAGGCTTCTTTCAACCACATCCCTTCGGCTGACTCTGGTGCAGGGAGGCAGGTAACAGGGAATCTAAGAGGCTCGTCTCTACCATCCTGCCTCTTCTCTGGAGTGTTGGTCTAGTCCTCCCAGAAGGAGTTGCCAAGTGCAAGAGATTTACTAGGGAGACAGCTGTGAGGGGAAGTGGGGAAGGGGCTGGGTAGGCATCATCAGACTGTCATACAGGTCTGACCTGTGGGAAGGAGAGAAGGAAGCAAGGAAGACTGATGGGAGGTCTTAGACCGCAGCGCCGTGCCAGGAAAGTTTGGTAAGGTGGGAAGTCTTTAAACCAACATTGGCCACCAGAGGAGTCCCAGCTCTCCCGGGAATGTGCTCTGACCTTAATATCCCTGCTGCGCTCTAGCTGGGAACAGCCCAGGGAGAGTGTGGCCTCTGGGCAAGTGCAGGGAGGGAGTCCAGGCACCGCAGCTGGGGCCATCGGTCAGTTACACACCCACAGAAGCCTGAGAAGCACACAGTCACCACATCTCACATCCCCTCTCATCCTGAAGGGAGGTCATGGCAGGCAGCTCCCGCCTTTAGCCAAGTGGCCCTTTCTCTGGCCTAGACAGGTAGGGGATGGGGACAGTCTCCTCACTCTTAAGGAAGGGGCCCTGGCGAAGCACAGGTAGAGAGCGTCCTCTCCAGTGCAGACGTTGCCAGAGACGGGAGGCCCCGTTTGCCCTGAGGTGTCATTTAACTCAACAAACGTTCACTGAGTACCTGCAACGCGCCGCTGGGTTTCACAGAAACCCTCTTGTGCCTGCCCCACACCAGACATCAGTCTTGGGTGCAGAGCTGGTGAAGGTCTGGACTCCATAGTCCATGAGGGAAGGGTCTGAAGAGGCTGCCTTCTGCTTTGGTCTCTGTGTATTTGTACTATAAAGAGCACTTGTCTGGGGGTCCAGAGACCTGCATTTGAATCCTGATTTTGTCAGTTCCTTGCTATGTGACTTCAGGCAAATTATATAATCACCATGAGCCTCAGTGTCTTGGGGATAATAAGACCACATGACCTTGGGGTCTTCTGACAAATGAATGAGACGTTATACACGTTAGCCTCAGAAACCCTTTGATCCTGCTACCCCGGGCAGACCAGGGGGTGGGACATGCCTGCATCCCTGACCAGACCGTCCTCTCATCCTCTCTCATGTGCTCAGCTGCCACCCAGTAACTGGAGCGTGCACCTGCCAGCCCGGCTGGTCTGGCCACCACTGCAACGAGTCCTGCCCCGCTGGCTACTATGGCGACGGCTGCCAGCTGCCTTGCGCCTGTCAGAATGGCGCCGACTGCCACAGCATCACTGGGAGCTGCACCTGTGCCCCAGGCTTCATGGTAAGATGGGAGGGGTCTCCCATGGCTCTGTACCCCCACCCTCACTCCGGAGAAGAGGGGCCAGCTCCTCCTGCCTTGGGGTGGAATCGGGGAGTGTGGCCCTGTGCCCAGGGATAAGGAATGCGAGTGTCTCCGTGTCCCCCTCAGACACAGAGCCTGTGACTGGAGAGCCCTCAAGGCTATTTTCAGAGGGCCGGTTCTGCTGGGGCGTGTCATTGCGAAAGTAATAGGAGGGGCATCATTCATCATCCATGTCTGTATATATCTACATCACCTTTTTCATACTTTAGATCATGACTTTGAATATGATTTGCTTATTTCACTTAACCTTATATCATGTCATTAAATAGTTTGGAAGATATTTGTTCTGACCATTGTCCCCTCACCCTGAAACACCAGTTGTCTTCTTTGTGCCCAGCTCTCCCCTGTCCATGTCCACACAATACAGACGGTCCCCAACTTACGGTGGTTTGACTTACAACTTTTTGACCTTACAGTGGTGTGAAAGCGATACACATTCAGTAGAAACCATACTTTGAATTTTGATCTTGACCCGGGCTAGTGAGATGCTCTACGGTGCTCCCTCCTGAGGCCCGGCAGCAGCAGAGAGGTGATTTTGCCCACGTGTAGGCCAATGTAAGTGTTCGGAGCACGTGCAAGGTGGGCCAGGTTAAGCTATGATGTCCCGTAGGTTATGTGTATTAAATGCACTTTTGACTTACAATATTCTCAACTTACCATGTGTTTGTCGGGACGTCACCCCATTGTAAGTCAAGGAACATCTGTATTTTCACATCATAATAATCACAGTGCACATGGGCAGTTTGCCATCTGCTTTCTTTCACCAACATTTGCTGCTGGGCTTCTTAATGATCCTTCTACATGGCTACATAGCACCACAGGAGCTGATGCACCCCAGTTAACTCAGCCCCAATGCATAGAGTTGTTCTCAGCATTCCCAGCAAGTGTTGCAAGGAGCATCTCCCTACAAACAGCTTTTCCCCTCCTATTGAATGATTTCCTTAGGGTGAATTCCCGGGGTCAGTGGGCATAATTATTTATGGCTCTTGATGGATGTTACCATATTACTTTCCTCAAGGGTTATAGAAATCTATACTGCCACCAGCTGCATATGAATGTACCTATTTCAAAACAACTTTGCTAACATTCTTTTTTTTTTCTAATTACATAGTTAGAAAATGGCTCCTCATTTTCAAATGTTGCTCTAATTTGCATTTCTTTGATTACTAGGGATCGTGAACCTTTTCCCCACATGTTTGTTTACTATTTGTATTTCCTCATGAATTATGCTGGTGCTTATGAGGTTTGATTCCAGGGACTCAAACCTGTTCAAAGGTGGAAATTGCTTAGCGGGTCTCATGACCCCAAAACTCAGGGCCCCCCGCCATGGCCATATTTTTTAATTGTGCTGTAGGAAGTGGTCTGTGCAGTAGGAAGTATGGCCTTTGAAACCATGGCCACATCTAGGCTGTCCTACTCACCAGCTGTGTGACCTTGGGCCAGCAAGTCAACCTCTCTCAGGATCAGTTTCCTCGCCTGTGGAATGGAACACCTGCCTCGCAAAGTTGCTGTCAGGTGTAGAGATGTCAAGTGTCTTGCCTCAGCACTTCTCAGAATTCAGTGACCTTAGAAATCCCCAGTGGGATTTGTTAAAGGGCAGGTTCTGATCCCATAGATCTGGGGAGGGGCCTAGAGTTCTGCATTTCTCATGCTCCCAGGTGATACCAGTGCTGCTGATCAGTGGCCTCGGTTTTGTAGGAAGGGGATGGTGTTCAAGTTGAGTTGCCCACTGGAATCACCTGGGGAGCTTTTCAGCACCCCTTCTCCCCCGCCCGCCCCTGGATGCAGATGTATTTGGTCTGGGTATGGTCTGGTTGAAGCCAGTGTGCTGCCAAGGTGGAGATCCTACAAGGAAGCCCTAAGCACTGTAGGAGAGTGTGTTTGCCTGGTGACATGTCTTGCAGGCTGGTTGCCCCTGGTCTATAAAACAAAACTCAGTTCCGCTCCCTCTTCCTCCTCCCCAGTGCAGATAAGCTGGGTGAGAATTAGCTCCAGTGGCATCTTCAAAAGAAACAAGTCTGTTTCTCCTGCAGGTTTTGTCTCTAATTTACCTTTATTGATGTGAGCTTTGTCCATAACTTCCATAGAAAAATGCAGTGCCTAGGTTTGAGGTTTGGGTGAGAAAGTTGTTTGAAATTAAAATCTCACATAGCTCAGGTGACTGAAGCTGAAGTGAACTGACCACACCAGCCTGCTAGTGAGGCAGGCATCTTGACTACTGGGGTAGTTCTATGGCTTTAGGCATGTTGTCTCTCCCCCTCCCTTCCACTCTCTCTAAAAATCAATGGAAAAATATCCTCAGGTGAGGATTAACAAAAAATTAAAAATTAAAAACAACAAAAGATATTTTTAGGATCAGCAATTAATTAGAGACTAATTAAAATAGCCCTTTCCTGAGTGTTTGGAGACCCTGATCCTAGGCTCAGTAATCTTGGACCTGTCACTTCACCTTGCTGGGCCTCAGTTTCCTCATCTGTAAGATGGGAGGCACATCAGTCCTGCCTGTTTTTGGATGTGAGTAGCCAATGTGGTAATGGATGTGAAGGCTCATCCTCAGCAATCCCATCCCACCAGACCTCTCCCTGCCAAGGGCTTGTTAAGGAGGATATTGGGATAGCTCTATGAAAGCACAGTCTCTGAGGACTGACAATGGTCTCAGGGTCAACATAAATGTGAGGAGTGCTGATGAAGTAGTTCAGAACTACCCAGGGACATGCCTGCTCCAGCAAGGTGGTCCCCACCCACTGAGGCCACAGGAATATACTAGTAGAGCAGAAACAAGTCCCACCTGGCATTCTGGATGTGCTGGCCCTCACACTCTTTCTCCTTCCTTCCTACCTTCCTAGCTGGGGATATGGAAAGTCTCATCAGACACCCATCCAGCCATCAAGGAACTTGTGCCCAATAAAAATAATATTCACATTAGCAGCAAACAGTGATGGAGTCCTAGCTACATGCTTCATTTCTATTTCTTTCAGGAGCCCTATGGAGGTGCACTTTCACATTCCTCAATTTGCAAATGAGAGTGAAATTCAAACAGGATAAGTCATTTGCCTAGGATCACAAAGCCAATAGTGGTGAGAGCCACTGAACTATCATATGTTAGGTGACAGGTCACTACGGAACCACACAAATCTGAGTTCATAGTCTGGCCACTTGGGGGGCTTGGCACTTACAGAAATCAGCTAGCTGTTTAGTGCCCCCTGCCTGAGGCTTGGGGCTAAGACAGATTGTGAGTCAAGCTGCCCTGGTGAGACCCCGCAAATCTCCATCCATCTCCTCCCACCCAGCCTCATTATACCTGGGAAGGCTCTTCTGGGCCCTGTCGGGTATCGAACAAGAGCCACTGGAGGTGATTACAGAAGAGTCAGTTGTTCTCATCTAGTGACTCATTCCTGCATGCACCAGGCTCTAAGGGGGGACTCATTACTGTTGCCCTCAACCCAGCTTCTGAATGAATGGGACTTCCTGCAATGAGCTGGATGGAGGGTCGTGATAATCAACCGAGCAGACTTGGCTGAAACCCTACCCCAAATGTCCCACAGTCAGTAATAACTATCAAAGCCTTTATTTACTGGTTGGCTTGTGAATTTATGTACCTGCCTTTTTCCTTAAAAGATTTTAAGGCCCTGGCCAGTTTTGCTCAGTGGCTAGAGCATCGGCCCCGTGAGCATGGCAGCATGAATGGAATCACTTGGGGCATGCATTGCTGAATTATATTAGGGCTTTCGAGTGGCGGAAATGAACCCGGGGCTGGAAGGCAAGAAGCTCAGTTCCTAGCTCTGGTTGTGCTAACTTTGGGGGCCTCTATTTCTCATCTGTAAAATGGGAATGAAACAATGGTAGGGGAGCCAGTCGTTCAACTGGAAGTAATTAAAAGTGGGAGTGGCGTTGTTTCAGCACCCTGGACAGCTCCACTGGTCTCTGCTTCAAGGTTGCTCTGGCAGGGTTAGACCCCAGGGTCCACACCTGGTCAGAACACCACGGTGAACAGGAGTGAGAGGGAAAGAGTGAGGGTGTCAGGGTGCTCGGGTTAGAAGAGTGGTGGGAGTGCCCATGTGAGGAATGATCCAGAAAGTGAGGACCTTTCTTCCTGACCACTGGGGAGTAGCTGAATTGTGGCGAGGGCACTTAGTCAAGCTGTCTTTCCACTTGGAGACTAGAGTCACATCACCCCTCTCCACAGCTTCTCATATCCACCAAGTAAAGCTCAAACCCCAGTCCTTTGTAACCTTTCCTCAAAACTAGTTTACCCTAACCTCATCTCCTGCTAAGTCCTGCCACAAACCTGTGCTACCCACACCAAACTCACTTTTCCCCAAACGCAGTGTCTGCTTTGGTGCTTCAACCTGTGCCTTTTCTCAAGCATCATGCTCTTCCTAGAATGCTCACCCCCAATTTCCTTATCTCAGTCTATGAAAATCCTCCTCCACCTTTCAGGCTAAGCAAACGCTACCTCTTCCATGGAGTCTTCCCTGAACGCTCCTCTCTTCAGAATTAACCCTTCCACCTCCTCCTTTCCCACAGGACACGGTTTATACTCAGAATCTGTCTCCCTCCAACCCTGCGCCCCCTACTGCCCCCTCCATGTACAATGTGAACATTTGCTCAATATATTCTTTTTGAAATGAATGAAATTCTTGGGATGAGCAATGCCCTTAAAGCAGAAGTTTCCAGAACTGACCTTTATAGGAAGGACATTTATTGCATTTCTCAGCAGGCCCTGCCAGCAAGGCTGGGGCTTGAGTCTACCCATTAGCTTCTCTGCAGTTCAGATAAACAGGTAGCTGCAGTGGGATGGGACAGCTACCCCAACATCATCTCTGGGTTCTCTGGGTAAATGATGTGAGCTTCTACCATATGCAGTACTGTGTGATGGTTTTGAAGAGACTCTGGAGCAAGATTCCCTACCTTCACAT